AGTTGCTACAGACAGCTGATCCCATGCCTCCACCAAGAATACCACAGCTTTCTTGACGTTGAATGTTCTCCAGAATTGTTTGAAAAGTACTTCTTGCTCTGCCAACTGTTGATCCTCGTCGTCTTCTCTCTTGCTATCGGTATTGGTGTCACTCAGGTTACGCAACTCTTCCTTGGTGTTGGTGTAGTCATTCAGGAGGTTGAATTTTTTCGCAGAGAATGCAGCTTTTACATTACAGATCAATTCTTGGTCCATGGGCTGTATTATAGACGTAGTGTTGGGAGGAAGGAAGACCACTTTTACGTTGGGGTGACGATCTAACAGTAGGGGCGAGTGTCCTGGTGCGTTGTCAAGCAGCAACAAAATCTTGAATGGCACATTCTGTTGCTCACAGAATTTCTTCACATCGGGAACGAAACAGTCATCAAACCAGGAGAGGGACAGTGTAGAGAACATCCACGCCTTACGTGCGGTCAGCCAGTAGACATTTAGCATGGTCATGTCCATGTTCTTGTAGGCGTGCGGCTTGCGTGCTGTGTGGATCACCGATAACTTGAGGTTACAGGTACCGGAGGCATTGGTGGTAAACAGGACGGTGATGCGCTCCTTCTGCAACTTCCGGCCCCGACACTTGCTGGCATTCTTCACAACGAAGGTCTTGGAAGGTAGCTTTTTCCAAAAAAGACCAGATTCGTCTATGTTAAACACCTGGTCGTCGGTGTACTGTCCTTCCTCCATAATCTCACGTAAAAACGGAGGAAATTCTCTAGCCGCAAGACGGTCAGCACTAGCTTCTTCACCCAGAGGAAGCATTAAAGGGTTTGGGCTCTGTAATTCCCATCTTTCGTGACACTGCAGCATACAGTTCACGTGCGTACTCCTTAACTGAGCGCGTGTCCACCGCCATGTTCCGTCGCGCCTGACGCACCAAGTAGCTCACAAGTAATTTTTCCGTCTTGAGAAGCACCTGGTTGTGGAACTACTTGATCATAGAAGCACCTGTAGACTTTGTGATGTTCATGTGCTCCTTTATCTTGGCTGCATCCTTCTTAATTGTCCTGATAGTTGATTCGTTAACACCATGCTGGCACGCGAGATCAACCTGCCTTGTTCCTTTCTCCAACTCTTGTATGATCGTATATTTTATTTCGTAGCTTAAGGAACGTCGTGTCTTCTTTGGCTTAGGGCGGCTGGGTCCAGGTAATGCAAGGTTTCTTTGTGGTGGTGGTGGTCCGGTGGAAGCCATTCTTATGGAACAATGGATACCGATATGCATGGTGTAGCCGGGAGGGGTGTAACTGACGCGGTAGGTCAAGGGGCTTGAACGCTCCCGCGGCGGGGCACGTCATAGTACTACATTAAACCAATCACAGCTAGCAGGGAGGGAGGTAAGGATGCTTTGCCCAATCACAGTCCGCTACGTCATATGACGTCACCGATAACGCAACAAAGACATACACTGCGCAACCTACTCACGCCGCTTACACAACATGGTGGATGGTGGGAGGTTTGGATCCAAAAATGGCACGGCGCGAGAGGACCACCAGCCGCTCTCCGCGTAAAGGGGTACACGCACCGCGGAAAGTGAGCATTCCGTGTTCGGCAGGGTACCGCGTAAACGTGGAAATGCGTAAAGTGGGACCGCGTAAAGCGAGGGTTGACTGTACAGGTAGTTCTGCTATAACGCGATAATTGTGTTCTTGTAAAATATCGTGTTATAGAAAATCGCGTAATAGAAATAACAGGGCTTATGGAGAAAATAGGGTTAGGTGCAGATTACTCGAAATCGAAAAAATTTAGTAGTTAGCCTAACACAAAGGATAGCACAGTCTAAATAAATGTTACATTCATATCTAATTATGAAATCATACAGTAAATGTAACACTTTACTTGATGGGGGAGAAGGGTGATTTTGAGGTTGATAAAATCGAGCTTCTCTTCAAGTGTTATATCCTTTCTTTTACGATCATCACCGGGAATTCTATCACCAGAACGCTTCTTGTTGATATTCTTCTTTACTATATTCACAGTTAATACAGTGGGGTATGCTATAACGAACGGATCCTACTACGAATATTCCTATAACGAATGGTTTTACCTATAAAATTGAGAATGCTATAACGAACGAAACTCCTACAACGAACATTATTTAAATTTTTTTTTTCTAATTTATTGTTTTTTTATTACAAATATTAATGATATTCTTTATTTCAGGGGTTTAGATGCATATTTATGCACTTTTTTACAATTTTTACAATTTTATATTATATTTTTCAGTGTTAAGTGGTTGTATTTGGGGGCCCGGAACGGATTAATCCTATAACGAATGAATGCTATAACGAACAAGGTTCTAGAACCAATTAGATTCGTTATAGCATACCCCACTGTACCACAAAATTGGAGAAATAGTAAGCAAAAATCGCGTTATAGCAAACAAGCGTTCGCGTTATACAAGTATAGCACAGGTACAGGTATAGCACCGGAAAAACGCTGCAGCCTCCCCTCCAGCACTAGATGTACCCCTCCACACGTGCAACATCTGGGTCCTGTATCAGCCTATTTAGCCACCTCAGAACCTACCAACGAAGGTGACATCCCTAATACAGTGGTCCCTCGGTTAACGAACTCAATTCGTTCCAGAAGGTCGTTTGTTAACTGAAAACCATTGTTTCAATGGGATATTGGGTAATTGGTTCCAGCTCACAGAAAAGTATATACAAAGTAAATCCAAAAACGCCTAAGTCAGAAACACTCCTATAGTCAACCCTCGCTTTACGCGATCCCACATTCCACGTTTCCACGTTTTCGCGTTACCCTGCCAAAACAGGAATGCCCCTTTACGCGGAGAGTGGCTGGCGAGCCGCGCCATTTTTGGATCCAAACCTCCTGCCATCCGCCATGTTGTGTAAGCGGCGCGAGCATGGTGCGCACAAGGTCGCCAGTCATCAAAACATTACCGAGTTCTTCACCCACCACCCACCACAGCCGGCCCAAGTCAGTGATAGTGATAATTATATTGAGGATATGGACTTATATGGACTTTGAGGGGTTTGACAAAGAGGCCCTGCAAGCCTCTGTGGTGGATAGTGATACAATTGATACAAGTGATACAGGTGAGGGCCAATAATCTGCCCTCTGCCTCGGAACCAACCCCCATCCCGTGTGCCCAGCCATCTTTTCTACTAATGTAAGTGTTGAAAAACCTAATATTATTGATATTTCTCTTAATTATTAATTGTGTGTGCATACCATCATAAAGTTAAGATAATATTTTTACTACAACATAGTTATTGTGTGTCAAAAAGTGGAGTTTGGGGGTCGGCCCGGTCTCTATTTCAATTAATCCCATATGTTATTTGTTCACTTCACGTTTGTCACTTTCCAGCGGTACCCTGTGGGTTGAATTAACGCATATATATATATATATATATATATATATATATATATATATATATATATATATATATATATATATATATATATATATATATATATATATATATATATATATATATATATATATATATATATATATATATATATATATATATATATATATATATATATATATATATATATATATATATATATATATATATATATATATATATATATATATGTATATATATATATATATATATATATATATATATATATATATATATATATATATATATATATATATATATATATATATATATATATAATGTGATACAGGTGATTAATATTATCTCTTGTGCAAAATATATGACATTTATATTCAAATTATTCGTTGTCTTGCAAGGATTCCAGCAATGCAAATTATATTCTCCTAACCTTAGTCTGAGATATTATATAAGATGAAAACTTAAAGACTACTGAAAACATGATCTTCGTTGCATTTTTTCTTTATCTCATTTGTGTCCTCAAATCTCGAACCCTTCAGCGGCATCTTAATTTTAGAAAACAGCCAAAAGTCGCAGGGAACCATGTCAGGAGAGGGAGCCTGCTGGCCCTGTGTGATCCTGTGTTTGGCTAAAAAATCCTGGACAAGATGGGATGAGTGGGCTGGCTGGAGCATTGTCGTGGTGGAGACGAGAGTTGTGGGAGGCGGAGGACTGGCAGCTCCACCACGACAATGTTGGTGATCCCAAAAACTGACTTTACAAAATGTTTCCAGCAATGGAAGGACCGCTGGGCTAAGTTTGTTGAGTCCCAAGGGCCTACTTTGAAGGGGATTAAAGTTTGAACTCAGTAAGTAAGCTTGTTTTTTTCACCTGCTAAAGGTCGGATACTTTTCGATCAGACCTCGTACATAGTACTGTACTGTATTGTATATGAAGCGTACAGGTATTATTAAGCACAGATTATTGCAGTAATAAATATTTACTAATTAATGAAAAACAAATGAAGTACAGTGGTCCCTCGGTTAACGAACACAATTCGTTCCACAGAGTCTTCCCATCCACACACCAACCATGTGTGGATGCGGCTAAACATGCTGCAATATTCATAACACTGGGAACCCTTGTCCCCAGGCCCTGAGAAGAAAGTTTTGGAGTTATTTGTCGCAATTTTCTCAAATTATCCGGTATTTGTGCATTACTTCATAATCGATATTTCTGCATTATTTCATAATCAATATTTGCTACCAGACCCAGAAATACAAATTTGGGCAGATTTTCCAGATTTTATTTATTTATTTATTTTTTTCAGAAAATGCTCTCGATTCTCTACCTCAGAATTTGTTCCCAAACCCCGAATTTAGAGAATTTTCCCCTAAAAATCCAAGCAGATTTCAATTTCAGCTATTGGAGAGTTATATATTATAAACTATGTGCTAGCAACCTAATTACAGGCTCACCAATGAAATTGGATTTAAGGATCAGTCCTTAATTATTCTTGTGTGCCCCTTAAAACTTTACTTACTGCTACTCCTCCTAATCCTCCAAGTTGTTGGAAATAGATTTTAGTTTCTGATTTTCATTTTCATAAGTAATTTCATGCTGTTTTTGTTTTAGGTTGGTGAAAATGGTACAGGAAAAACAACGTTACTGAAGATTTTGTTAGGTGAACTTGAACCCACTAGTGGCCAAAGAGTTGCCAACAGGTAAGATTTTACATCATTTTTGCTATTTAATCTTAGCTGGCTTGGATTTCTACACACAGTATCTTATTAAAACATTTCTATGGTGTTATTTTCAGAAGAAAAAGAAAAGCCAGTGTCTTTTCTTCGTATAGATAGACTCGTCCACCATTGAAATGTGCAATTAAAGTGTGTGGATAGAAGGGAATAGGAATGAAAAACAAGAAGAGGGAATGATGGGATGAGAGGTTGATAATATATAGGATTAGGTAATGAGATAAGAAAGGCACATGAGTGCCAGTAGCAAGTAAGAAGCGATAAAATAAAAAAGTAAAAAATGTATCAGAAAAGCAGGTTAAAGATGGGGGAGAAAGGTTGTCACAGGAGAACATGAAGTTCTCCTGGAGGAAACTGAATGGGTTAAGAAAAAAGAAGAGAGAAATTGGAAGTGGCAGTTGATGACAGTTGATGAAAGACAGGATATATTGCTGAAAAAAGAGGAATTAAAAAGGAGATGGGGAAAATATTTTGAGCAACATTTGAATATAACATAAAAAAGAGTAGGAGTTATTGTGTATAGGCGATACCCTGAGTGCATGAGGAATTCTTGTAGTTGTAATAAGGCAGAGGGATATTGTTCATATTGTCTTGAATTCATACTACAACTGACTTTAAAGTCTCTCATTCTGCATTTGCATACACACACAAGTGCCAAAAATCTTTCTTACTCGGCTTGTCTTGTTGGCATTGTGCACTTGACCTAACATGATTCCAGATGTGTTTATTATTTCACCAAATTTTATTTAAAAGTCTCAACATTATGTTACAGTCAGCATTGTCAATCCACCCTCTCTGTGTGGTTTGAACCCTGGGAGTGTCAACTCTTGAATCAAAAGCATTTATGAGCACGGGAGAGAGGGAGGCCGGAGATGACTGGGGCCAGTGTGTGAGTGGGTGATGGGGTAATACAGGTTGACAATCCCTTATCCGAAATCCATGGGGCCAGATGCATTTCGGATTTCAGCATACAGTAGTTAGGTTAGGTTTTGTTTTTTTGTTTTTTATATATATATACTGTACAGGTATCAGCCCATCCGGCCGCAGGTCACTGACCCACATTGGGGCCTGGGGGCTAAAATATAATAATAATTATAATAATAGTAATAATAATAATAAATTCATAGATCTAGGTTGTTTCTCGCTTTTTATCTTTTTTCATTCTTGTATTTGTTTGTTATTATTGTTATTATTATTATTATTATTATTATTTTATTATTACAGTATTATTGTTATTATTATTATTAATTTTATTTTTATTATTATTTTATTATTATTATTATTATTATTATTATTATTATTATTATTATTATTTTATTATTATTATTATTAATATTATTATTATTATTATTAATATTGTTATCATTATTATTTTTTTGTTTTGTATTTTTTATTATAAATTTTATTTACTATAAATAATTGTTATTACATTTTCGGCCCGAAGGCCCCGATGTGGGTCAGTGACCTGTGCGTGTCTTTTTGGTTAAATGTAACGTCTCCACCACTAGTGTGGGGGGGGGGATGCAACTTTTAGCTTCAGACATGAAAAATATTTACCATTTACTGCCAGTAAACAATGGAAACGTAAAATATGTACCAATTAGTAATGAAAAGTTGTGCAGTTCCTTCAGCAAATGAAGCTCACCAACTTACAATAGGCTAAATTACCTTACAACATGCTTTCAGTAGTCTATGTTAAAGTTCTTAGCACAGGCTAACTTATCATATCATATACGGTATCACAGTTCTCATTGATCTACAAAAAATACCGGTAATAAAAACCTTTTTGATATTTCACACTTAATATAATACCCGGTAATCTACTTCAACCTCCTATTGTTTACAACGACGCATGACGCACCACCAGCTGTTGAGTATCAGCTAGACGGTACACGTGTTTTTCAAATCGTTTTCAGTTAAAAACTGTTACACCACATGTATATTTTACTTTAACTGTGCCTGAATGAATATATTCTCGGAAATAAATAGTAGTTTTGCTGAAACGTGATGTATTTTAATGTAAAATAGGATAAAATACATGACAAAAACAAAAGATTTTACCTAACCTTCCGATGTTCAAGAGAAGTTACTCGTTTTTTTTTAATAGTTTTTGGTTAAAATACTGTTATATTACAATGGTATTCTATTCATACTGTGCTTGATATAATGCATTCACGGAAATGTAATATTTTTGCTCAAATGACGTACGTATTACAGTGGAAAGTGGGATAAAATCGTGACGAAAACTTTCGCTTTCTTTCGTTCAAAAGATGTTACCATAATCGCTTTTCGATTGGTTTTCAGTTAAAAAACTGTTGTATTACAATAATATTCTATCCTAATTGACTTGAATAAATACTACGATACCATATTTCTGAATATTTTCATTAAAATCCATCAAAATCATTTTCCTTGTCATTGTCTGCAGCACCAAACAGCTTCTCCCAGTCCTCTCCTTGAACAGGGCTAGAGGATACGTGTTTTTCGAATCGTTATCAGTTAAAAAACTGTTACATCACACGTATATTTTACCTAAACTGCACCTGAATGAATATATTCTTGGAAATAAATAGTTTTGCTGAAATGTGATGTATTTCAATGTAAAATAGGATAAAATACATGACGAAAACAAAAGACTTTACCTAAGCTTCCGATGTTCTTGAGATGTTATTCGTTTTTTACTAGTTTTCGGTTAAAATACGGTTGTATTACAATGATATTCTATTCATACTGTGCTTGATATAATACATTCACGGAAATGTAATATTTTTGCTGAAATTACGTATGTATTACAGTGGAAAGTGGGATAAAATCGTGACGAAAACAATGACTGAAATATAATGCAATATTAACCCCTAAATCGGTTAATTCGGATAATCGGCTAAAACGGACACCCTTCCCCCCTATTAGTCCGAATTAACGAGGGTCGACTGTATATACAGTCATGCGCCGGTTAACGCCCGACCGAACAACGTCCGATCGCATATACATCTGTGCCCCAAAAAAAAAAAAACACGTGACGCCTGCTGGACCACATCTCCACGACCCCGACGGAGACACGATGATCCTCCCCATACTGGTCAGATATTATGTGTTAAAGGAATATGCTTCCTTACTTAGGCTTTTCTAAGCATTTGCCTACAGGTGAAATGTTAACCTACATCTATTAAGGATAAAATCTTTCACCGACAAATTGACAATAACACATTTGCAGTAATCAGACATATCTAGTTGCCTCAACAATTGCAAGTTGCAATTGGAGTTGCAATTTTTTTTTTAATTCAGAAACATTAATTAAAACATATATGAACAGTAAATATGTGTTGCTTTCATATTCTTTTGTAGAGTAATGACGATATGTTTTCACATGTGCACACTTACATACGCGATCTCACTTTTTTCTTTACCATTAATGGTTAGTTACTTCTATTGTTCCATTTACTAACATTAAATAACATTACTTAAAACAACTACAGTCAACCCTCGCTTTACGCGGTCCCACATTCCGCGTTTCCACGTTTACGCGGTACCCTGCTGAAACCGGAATGCTCACATTCCGCGGTGTGTGTACCCCTTTACGCGGAGAGCGGCGCGAGCAGGGTGCGCACAAGGTCGCCCAGTCATCAAAACATTACCGAGTTCTTCACCCGCCACCCACCACAGCCGGCCCAAGTCAGTGATAGTGATAATTATAGAGATGGTATGGACTTATATGGACTTTGAGGGGTTTGACAAAGAGGCCCTGCAAGCCTCTGTGGTGGATAGTGATACAATTGATACAAGTGATACAGGTGAGGGCCAATAATCTGCCCTCTGCCTCGGAACCAACCCCCCATCCCCGTGTGCCCAGCCATCTTTTCTACTAATGTAAGTGTTAAAAAACCTAATATTATTGATATTTCTCTTAATTATTAATTGTGTGTGCATACCATCATAAAATTAAGAAGTTATTTTTACTACAACGTAGGTATTGTGTCTGAAAAAGTGGAGTTTGGGGGTCGGCCCGGTCTCTATTTCAATTAATCCCATATGTTATGTTGTTCACTTTACGCGTTTCTCACTTTGCGCGGGCCGCCGTGGGTTGAATTAACCGCGTAAAGTGAGGGTTCACTGTATATTAATTTTTTTACATTGATTTTACTACAGCTACAACCAGGGTCTTATTTTCTTCAGTTTTATATGTAGAACCAGTCAGTCACTGGTTTTGTAAACATTGACAAAAACAAAGCCGTCTCGTCTCCTCGTGTTTTAATATTCTACGTATTATTAATGAATTGTATTGTTCATTTTGCACACATAAACATTAATTCAATCAAAAAGACATTGTCATAAACAATAATGAATCTTTTGTAAATAAGAGAAATGGCGCTGTTTACACGATTGTGCACGTCTGAACGTTGGCGGGCTGCTCAAACCCGTCGAAATTCGAGTTTCCGCCGTCGAAATTTGAAATTGTGTAGTGTTTTTTTGTGTTAAAATAAAAAACATTGAATTAAAAACTCGCAAAATTTGAGAACCTACTGTACATACAAAATATGTATTTCTCCCATATGTACACCTGGCTATGCCTAGCAACGGGAGCAGGTAAAGGGAGTTGTGACCGCTAGTTGTGTGTCGTCTGTAGTTGTAACTCTCCTCGCTCCGTGCCATATTTCACTGGATTTACTGCTATTAGTGATTAATCATGGCATTGTAGCTAGGTTAGACTTGTCACTGTAACCACCAGGCTACTGGGCCAAGCTGTCAGGTGTTATAGTTGTTTTTCAACTCATATTTTTGGGTAGATATATGTAACTTTCTTCATTTATTTTTACTCAGTTATATGCACACACCATCCTTTAATGCATTTTGTGAAAAAGTAAAAGAAATAATTGTCCTAAGGGCAAACATATAAAGGGAATACAGTGTACATTTCTTTGTACACAAGTTAGTTGGCTCAGTGAGGAAGAGGAAGAGGGCGCAGATTGTAGTTGGGGGGGGGGTGGGGGAGTGCTGCTAGGGAGATGGCAGAAGTAGAGTCCCAGCTAGTGTCTGTTACTATGGCTGACCAGGGAGTGTATGCAAATGGCAACTGTGTTAAACTTTCATTTGTTTTTTATTTAATGGTTTGGCAATACAATATTTTTTCTTGTACAATATTGTATCATGAATGACAGTCATTGTAGAATGAGTGAGAGAGGCAAAGTGTCAGTAAGATGCAGTGGGAACTGGGTGGAAGGGAGGAAGGTGGGAAGTGGGTGGAAGGGAGGAAGGTGGGAAGTGGGTGGAAGGGAGGAAGGTGGGAAGTGGGTGGAAGGCAGTGGATGTCTTGCTGATCTGCTCTGGCTAAAGCAAATCCATCTCTCCATCACTGAAATTATGATTTAAGTGGTGATAATAAAGTAATGGTGGTGATCATGGAGCTGGTGGTGGAGGAAGAGATTGTGGTAAGTGGTGAGGAGATGATGCGTCTGTCGGTTTGTTTGGTAACACTAGCAGCAGCACTGTCAGACACGGTTGAACAGCTGATGTCTACCTACAAAATTGAATGCAAGTATAAATTAACAACATCGTATTCCTTCTACATTGTTACATAAATTTTAAATTATGGAGTGATAATTACAAACAAACAATGTACAATACTGTACAATATTGTATCATGAATGACAGTCATAGTAGAATGAGTGAGAGAGGCAGAGTGTTGGCGAGAAGCAGTGGGTGGGAGGTAGGGAGGAAGGTGAAAATTGTGATTTAAGTGGCGATAATAGGGGTAGTGGTGGTGATGGTGGTCATCATGGAGCTGGTGGTGAGAAAGCAATTGGCAAATGGGTAGTAAAAACTTGCTTTCGTTATACAGTTTTGGGAATTTCATTCAAAGGAATAACGTTCAACAGAGACTTACTGTGTGTGTGTGTGTGTGTTTGTGCATATATATACAGCTCCTCCCTGACTTACGACCTACTCGACTTACGACCACTCGCACTTACGACCTGCCTCAGTCCTACTAAAATTTTGTCGAATTACGTATTTTCGAGTCCCAACGTCAGTACACAGAGAAAAATTTTTTTTGTAATTCACTTTAAAATGGCTGGCAAGCTTAAAAGTGAGAGTTTTGTGATGCTGATAAGAAAAAGAGACCCATTTTAGATTTTCTATGTATTATTTAAGCATTTTCGACTTACGACCATTTTTACTTACGACCATTTCGACTTACGACCTGGATTTAGGTCCCTAACCCCGTCGTAAGTCGGGGAGGAGCTGTACTTATTTTTGTTATTTTCTTTTTTTAACAGGTCTCTCAGGATAGGCTACTTCACGCAACATCATGTGGACCAGTTAGATATGAGGGTCTGTTCAGTGGAACTATTGCAGAGCAAATATTCAGGTGGGTTCATAATTGATTTTGAATTATCATTATTATTGTTTTTCTAGTTGAAATTATTATTATTATTATTGAAATTATTATGGTTATTGTTGTTACTTTATTCTAATAATTATTACATAGAAATTTACTTAAATCTTACAAAATGATATTTAATAATACAGAGTATATCTATAAAGGTGTGATATACTGTAATTTAAATTTTGAGAGAAATTAACATTACGTAAAGTCTTCTTCATAATGCACTAAAATATGTTAACTGAAAAGTTTGGGACCAAGGGACTTCCATAAAATGGATAAATGTGTGAAGTGGATTTTATCATGAACATGTGCCCATGGAAAGCATGTAATAAACCAAAATACTTTACTTGTGATATTGGTAATTCTCTAACTCTTTCACTGTTATTAACCCTTTACTGGAAGGCATATTTAGGTGCGCTGTCCACCAATAGACTCTTGCCCTAGTACAGTATAGATGTGTATGCTGAATTATGTATGATTGTTATAGCCCCAATGATAGTCTTGTATGGATAATTGATGTGGACATTCAACAGTACAGTACTGTATATGCAGTTAAGCAGACAAGATTTGTTGCAATTTAGTAAGGGTATATATATTACTATATAGTAATTGTTAATTATAATTGATGAGCCTGAGATGCTTTGGTCATTGAATAAGTAAAAGGTATTACAAGATACAGATATTTAATAATTCTTATTGCTTTTTCCCAGGCAAAACTATTGAGGAATATCGGCGTCAGCTTGGTTCCTTTGGGGTTAGTGGAGATTTAGCCCTTCAGCAAGTGGCAAGTCTTTCAGGAGGACAGAAATCTCGTGTTGCATTTTCTCTTATGTGCATGGGTAACCCCAATTTCTTCATTCTTGATGAGCCTACCAATCACTTGGACATTGAAACAATTGAAGCTTTAGGAGAAGCAATTCAGAAGTTCAAGGTTAGTTCATTAATTAGTTTCCTTTGAATTTGTTATTATATATGTGTGAGCGTATTTTTAATGTCCTTTTGGGCAATTAGTAATTAAACATGTTACCAATATTCTAAAACCTTCATGACAATGTCTGCTTTGCCTTCATCACCACCACCAGTATATAATTCAGTGGCAGAAGCATTAATCTTGTGAGTGTTGCATTATCTGTTAAAGCAGCTACCCACCTACAGTAGTTACACATGCAGCTAATAAAGTTATTTCCTCTAAACACTCATTGGATAAAGGAAATGAGGAGTGTCTCTCCAAGAGATTCTCTGGACCTCTAAAGACCTAAGCCAAATAAACACAGGTTCTAAAGGTTTCAACCTTCATTTCTGTTCATTAGCACCTGGCAGGCAAGATATCCTCATTTAGGCTTGTCTGCCCTCAAAATCTACTATTCAAGGTTTTTTAAATAAATGGTGAGCACCTTTTGTCCCATGACAACCGTGACTGTATAGTTAGGATCTTTCCATGCCATAATTTATAAATTTGGTTCCTGATTTCTGTTCAGGTGAACTATTGTAACTCGTGGCAACTTTTCCTTTCCTGCCTTGGTCCCTACCTGTACCAATATGATTTTTTTTTGTCATGGAGAAGGTATCTGGCATTTCCAGTGATGCATCATACAAATAATAAACTAACTGCTATAGTGTTACCTTGACACTCAGAAAAAAAATATATTATGGAAATCAGAGAGTGAAGGTTAGGATGAAAATCTGGTAGATTCGCTGAGTGAATAAGGAAATGGTAGTTCTTGTGTGAGCTTCAGCAATAGTGATTCTGATGAACTAATCATTAGCATACGAGAAGTGTTTAGAGACCAGGAGGAAGGTACGTAGAAATGCTTCTCCAAATGTTGCATGTGTGCCGGGTAGGAGTACATCACCAACTAGTGAATGAGGTATTCATGGTGCAGGATACTAGAGTAGTGGTGATGCCTAGGACTGTGCAGGTGTATCCCGATAACTGATGCATATAGGAACCAGGAAAAGTCGTTGTCTAGTGAATCAACGAAATTATCGAAGCAATTAATCCCATAAGAACATAACAGATTCAGAAGGTTAGGGACTGGCCACCCTTCAGAAACTCCCATCTACCCTTGATATATCTTTGTTATGCACTGTCAAGCAAAAAAATAAAACAGGCATAATAAACCTTAAATAAACAATGTAAAGCATAAATTGAGACTTATTTACCTGTGTTCAGGATGGTAGAGATGGTCTAGGATGGCAAGTTCAAGTGTCTAACACTCATTGCTGGTCCATCACCTCTCTTATTATGCCTTATTATACCTTATCACATCACAGCAAGCTGCCCAGCACAAGAGGAACTATCACAGGGGCATTTAGGCATGAGTAACGCACTCAGTTGGAAATAACGAAAAAATACGAAGTCGGAGACACATAGTAAATTGTTAACAAGAGCAAAGATGTCAGGAATAAGTCAGGGTAGCGCGCAGAGCCCTCTTGTGGCAAGAATTCGTGCCATGTTACCACCCGCCAAATTCAAAGAAACTCTGTCACTCCGCTCTGGGGTATCAACAAAACTTGTGGGGTATTTCCTCTCTATGTAATCGTCGGTTATACGAAGCGGTAGTTAATGGGTCATAAATTTTTGGGGTACACTTGTAAAATCGGCGGGAAAAATTATGGAACAACACCACCGGGAATGAACCTTTTTTTTTTTCCCCCTTACCATGTTGCTCCATGCCCATAAACCTGTCCTATGAAGTCTCAGGCCCGAATTCAGAGCGCTGGTTTGAAACCATATGAAGATTTTTAAACCAAGGATCAAGCGAAGTTTGAAGATTGTTGGTATTCAGAATGTTGGCTTGAGTCAACACAAAGATTCAAACCTGGTTTGGGGTCAGATTTGTCAAATCCTTGCATTAATCCAGCCTGGTGGCAGGTTTAGCGGTCGATCCATCATTCAAGATAGCAAGTCAACATGAATTTTGACAAAGTGCACCTTTTGGTGATATCAAATTGGAAATTTTGCATAGAGAAGACTGGTGGTAGACAGGCAGAATCCTATAAATTTTTATGATGACACGCAATTCAGACAACGATATAGGTTCAGCAAGGGAGACTTCCTTGATATTTTCTGCGATATGGAGCATTTACTTTACAAACCTGTTGGCTATGGTTCACCTCTACCTTCCATTCATCAGCTGATGACTGTTTTGAGATTCTTTGCAACAAATAGTTTCCAGGTAAGAAATATTCTGGTTACTGAATGAGTTATGGTGATGAGTTGCAACACTTTCGTGTTTAGGGTCCATGAAGATCAAGCAAGTAAAACGCTGACGCTTCTTCAATCAAGCCTACAAGATATAGGTAGTATCTAGGCATACATTAAGTATATACACACATTTACACGTTCAAGACATGCCATCACATTGATAGGACATCAATAGGTTAATGTCATTGTTGTAAGTGCTTACTTATGTTAATATATACTAAAGTTTCAAACTACATATTTTAATGATGTCAAAGACACATCTTCTTAAAATAAAAATATGATAGTGCTACAAAAGTATCACAGACTTAAATTTTCAGCCATGCCGTGTAGTACCCTTCACAACCCAGTACCATTGCTCTCCGCAAAAATGAATGTTTCGTTGAAAGAGTCTTACGCACCACACACTCATTCATCTAGCGTGATAACAGTAGCAAAAGTTGTACATTGCTCAGAAGGTGCGTTCTTAACCATGAAATAGGCGAAGATTATTTCTGCCATGTTGCTTTTGATATTGGCAGTAATATTTGTGTTTTACATCAAGTTCCTGTTCTGTTATTACAAGGCAGTGTCATCCAAATTCAACATTGTTCATAACAAACTAACCCGTACGACACTAACGTATAGGTCCCCTGTAGTAGCTAATACCCCTACAGTAATAGAATCCCCAGCTTACTGTCTACATATCTGTTTATAATATGGTTAGGTTTGTCTAGGATGTGCTGTACTCTGTGAGTTATTTAGGCCTCACGGAGCTCGGCTGGTAGGTGACCGAGTGATGTAATGGGCCCCTGTCTCATCAACAGAACATATTATATAAATGGGTCAATACATCTGATATTATATTCAGATTCACCACTCTGTAACTTTCCACTGGCTATGAGGTGACATGTTCAATGCACGTGATAAGGTGTGCCCACGGGAAGCTGCGTCATACTATGCTGAGTAAAGGCATAAGTAGCCGGCTCCTGGCCACTTAAAGCGAGCAGTAGTTTGATATCCTTGACTAGAGGAAGACGTTGTTTGAGAGCCGCAGTGGATGGCTCCGTCTTCCCTCGAGGGGGAACGACGTACCCATACCGTTCTCCCTCGATGGGTCACTACTCATGAGTCGCTCACATCAACTTATATCGTAAGGACGTGACCTAACGTTTATAATACATAAACGCCGTCCCTTTCTCATTCACTCTTAAACAGTGGAACTTACGGTCGATCTACACTCAGGAATTATATATACAATCCTTTTATAATAAAACAAGGAACTACCGTTTGGGTTTCGTTACTTAAACCCAAATAATAAATATATGTGAACGGCCTGGTTAATTGCACAAGCAGCCGATTCATTACGCTTGCCAGCCATTTTAAAGGGAATAACAAAAAAAAATTTTGTCAGTACACAGCGCAATCACTTATGTCAGGACTCAAAAATACGCAATATGAAAAAATATTTTATACGACCATGGCCGTCATATGCCCTGGTTGTCGTAAGTCGAGAAGAGACTGTACTATTATGCTGTACATAATAATATAAAAATAATCAAGACATTTTTAAAAGTCTTTACCATAAGCTTGGAAATTCGATTCTAAAGAAAAATGGGACACAATAGAAACTAAATACAATGGGTAACTGAAACAAATATTGAGGGAAAAGGGAGATGACCGAAACAATATATAAAACTATAAATCATTTTGTATTGTACTCAATGATGGACATAGGTGGTGGAGCGAGTGTGTGGTGGGTAGTGGAGCGGAGGAGGAGTGCGGGAGAGGAGGAGGAGGATGGGGAGTCACTGAGGCCCGGCAGGGTGCTCCTTCTCCCAGTTTAAAACTTCCATTTTCATAGCAAAGCTAATGGTCTTACGTTGCTTCTTCATAACACTAGCATCAGTAGCACTTGATGGGTGCTTGGAAGCCATTTTGAATTGTTAGAGTACAGTATTAAGAGCAAAAACACTTAAACACACACGAACGCTGTGGAAGCCTAACAAAGACTGACGATGCCTGGGGACACTGTGACTTTCCGTGAATGAGAGGTAGCACGCCAAGAAGAGAGTGTGTAATGCGGCAAGACGATAGAGGATGATGCGCCATAAAAATTAGTCCACGACGACACTAAAAACGACGTTATATTGAGTCGTCGGGACGTTAACCGAATTTTAGATATCTAAAGAGTCGCGACTTTATAACGAAACAACATTATCGGGAGCAACATTAAACGAGGACTTACTGTATTGTATAAACATTTCGGTGACTGTGGTCCTAACCACCCCTTTATTTTACTTTTTTCTGTAACTCCAGTACTTGTGACATTATCTTTTTTCTTCATAACACCATCGTCTTCCTCGTGATTTACTCTTTATTTTCATGTTCATTTTATACTGACTGATGCAATGATGTGGGTACAGCAAAAAGAGGATTAAACGATAAACTCTCACTTTTCACATATACTGTCTTGCCAAAATGCCTTTTATTTATTATTTATTTTTGGGGGGTTTCATGTGATTTCCCAGCATTTTTAATTTTTTTTATAAAAAGGCATCACTTGAATAAATACCCCGTATATGACAATATCTTAGCCTTGAACAGTACTCAAAAAAATATCTTCTCCATGATTTCTGGTCAATCTGCCAGCTACAAACAGAGCGTGTGACGGGCTCATTAAATAAATTTCAGGCAATCCTTAGTGTTAATAAGCATATACTGTACACAGGTCACTAGTTACTGCCTTGGCCATAGAATGGGATTTGAGGATCATTCTTCCATTTACGACTGGTGATTGAGCAAATATTCTGAGTTCCTACTCTTCTTGGCTTAATGAACAGAAGCATCCAGACAGAGGAATGAGTGGACAATAAAAGAGGAGGATAGATTCACTTACCTTTGCTGTGATTTGGGCATCGCTTAGAATTAGAGGACAACATTCATTTCCTAAAGAAAATTTTCATTTAGGTGGCACAAAGGATAATATAGGTACAGTACTGTAATCAAAGAGGATAAGTTTGATATCATGTAAACATCTTTGCTGAATATACCAGACTTAATTTATTTGCCATTGGTCAAAGAAAGGGCTTGAAAGTCAGTGCCCCATTTTTATTTAATTTTTATTACTTCATAATTAGAAGATATATTTTGTTATTATTATTATTTAATATTTTGTTTGCTGTTTAATATTATGTATTTTGTTTCAGGGTGGTGTGGTGCTTGTTTCCCATGATGAACGCCTCATACGCATGGTGTGCACAGAACTGTGGGTTTGTGGAGACAAGAAGGTTGGATGCATGGAAGGTGGCTTTGATGAGTATCGAGAAATTATTGAGAAAGAGATCCAGATTACCTTATAAGGACTATTATAGGACTCAAGATATTGAATTTATATTAATTTACAATAATAGAACTATGGCCTTTTCTAAGCAACTTCATGAAAACAAGCAGTTAGTGATGTTCAGCATAAAACTTGTAATAGTTTTGTTGAGAGAGACTCGATAATCAATTTATTCAAATGCTTTTATACTTGAGAGAATATATATAT